AGAAGGGGGGATTGGACCCCACGCCGCCCAGGGCCCTAGCCTGCCACTCTATCCCACTGGCTCTCCTACAGGATGGGATAATAAAACTGGTCCGCCTTGGAGAACTGGTGCCTGGACTGTCCTCATGTTGTTGTTCAGTCGCACAGTCGAGTCCGACTCTTCGCAACCCCATGGACCAGATCACGCCAGGCCCTCCTGTCTTCCGCCGTCCTCTGAAGTTTGCTCAACTTTGTTCGTTGCATCGATAACACGGTCTAACCATCCCATCCTTTGCCGTCCCCGTCTTCTTTGACCTTCAATCTTTCCCAGCATCAGGGTCTTCTCCAGTGAGTGTCCTCATAAAGCAATACAAAGTGTAGCTTTTTTGCCACTGAGGCCAGAAAGCGACTTTTCTAACGGATGCGCAAGACCTGGAGATTTCTGAGTCCAGAGTGGTGGCTGAGCGAGATTCCCAGGGGTCCTGCTTCACTCAAAATAAGTGGTCTTTGTTGACGCTGCTTTTTAAAAAGCTGAACAGTCTCCCTAATTTGCATGAGCTTTGGCTCACAGACCTCGGTAGAGAACTTTCTCTTCTTCCCCCTCTGGAGCATGCAGTGCTCCGACAGGAGAATACTGTTGTAAGATAATTTTAATAGTAAAAGGTTTGGATCAGAGAACTGAGCCCTTTATATACCGAAATCATATAGCTGCTTCTGTCCTTTTAGTTAAGCAAGCCACTTTTAGCACACAGGGCAAGACTCCCAAAATGCAATGCCTGAGCTTTCAGCACACAGGGCAAGACTCCCAAAATGCAATGCCTGTCCCACATTCTTTTCCCATCGTTTTTTACACCCCCCCTTAGGCTTCACGGTTGTCATTTAGAATTAGAAGTGCTATTTTGTGTTATTTCGTAAATAAACTATAAATCCTGGAACATAAGGACATCTCCTTGTGAGATGGTCCCATGATTTTCAAAAGCACTTCGGTCACTAACATTTGTGACAGCCCGTGCAAAAATCTTTGATTAATTCTGTATAAACTGGAGTCCTTTTGGGCAGTTCGGCACTGACTTTTGGGATTCAGTGAGACTCTTTTTCCTCTCTCCTGAAGGTCACTGGTTAGTCCAAGCTTTGTGTGCAAGCTTTGTAGGAGAAATCTTTGTTAGTTTATTTGCTTGCTTACTATCTCCTTAGGAACTCCCCCCTCTCTCCTGAAGGTCACCGGTCAGTCCAGGAGCTCCTGTGCGCAAGCTTTGTAGGAGAAATCTTTGTTAGTTTATTTGCTTGCTTACTATCTCCTTAGGAACTAAGACTTGTATTGTTTAAAATTCTGGCAAAGTGCCTAGCTGGCGTCTTGCCCGGAGTGCGCTGCTACTTGACAGGTTTAATAAAGTTAAGTTTTGTTTTTCTTTAAAACAATTTTGTAGTGGTCTTTAACGAGTCTTAAAAGGTTTCACTCATTCATTCTGCCTTCGGTGGGGAGGCATCGCCTGGCCCATACAAACAAGGGGAGTGGTGGCTTGCTCACACACAGAGACGTGTAAACACATTCTCCCAACACAACTGTGCTCAGTAGTAACACCCTTGCTTCGCGCGTAGCGAGCCCCGAGTTCAGATGAGCACCGCAAACCTAGAGTCGGATTCGACTGGCTTTCGAGCAAGGGAACCTTTACCTTGACTTAATGGTTTTCTTACTAGCCCTGAAAGGTTTCACTCATTCATTCTGCCTTCGGTACTGGGCATCACCTTGGCGAAACGGACCGAGGGTGGGTCGGTCACACACATGCGTGTACATGTGTAGAACCATTCCCATGACAAATACGACCGCATTTAATATCCTGAAATAAAAGTCGTGTGTGTGTGTGTGTCCGGAGGTAACCAAAAACTCAGTCCTGGCGACTAGCAGGGAAATCCTGGCACATTGTTGCGGAACTGTTTAACAAGAGCCGCCGGCCCCACGACCGGATCCAAAAGTACCACGGTGTAGCTCCCTTGGTGGAGGTCAAAGCGTCAGTCGTGGGCTGAACTGCGCACACCCTGCTTCGTCTTGGGTGAAACCTCCTCCCAGACAGCAGGCGTGAAAAAGGCATGCTCACTTGGCTTCTGTGGAGGAGGAAGTGAGAAAGCCAGATCGTGGTGGCTCGGGGAAAACAGTGGCTTGCCTGCCCCACAACTGGATCCAAAACTACCACGGTGTAGCTCCCTGGGTGGAGGTCAGAGCGTCAGTCGTGGGCTGAACTGTGCACACCCTGCTCCGCCTCGGGTAAAACCTCCTCCCAGACAGCAGGTATGAAAAAGGCATGCTCACTTGGCTTCCGTGGAGGAGGAAGTGAGAAAGCCCGATCGTGGTGGCTCGGGGAAAACAGTGGCTGGCTACCTAACCAGGTCAAAATTTGTGAAACCCCACCCCGGCTGGCGTTCAGACATACTTGGCAGCTATTTTCTTGGGCTTTCCTCATCATCTTGGTGGTGACAAAGCAAGCGGCAACAAGATGCACACCTCACAGGGGAGAGGAAATCCTCGCAACAGCCTGGAGGGTGGGAGGGAAGCCCCACAGAACTGTATCCTTTCAGGGGTCATTTCGTAGAAAAAGAGGTGCAGGCGCTCATTAGCATAACTTATTTGCATATGCCACACCCCCTGACATCACCGGAAGTGTGTCAGAAGGCAACGCCCACCTCAACTCAAGCTCCACTGGACTGTTTTGGACTGCTAGCTATTGGGGGGGGGGAGGACGTGCAGATCTGCCCTCACAGAGGAGGGAGAGCTTGTACCTGAATAAAACTTGGCCTTAAAGGTGCCACTGGACTGTTTTGGACCGGGGATAGCTATTGGGGGGGGGGAGGACGTGCAGATCTGCCCTCACAGAGGAGGGAGAGCTTGTACTTGAAGGCAGGCCAGGGGTGGGGTGGGGGGCTCTGCAACTTACCTGGCTGCTTCTTGCTCCTCGTGGCCCGACTGAGGCCTGCTGGGAGCAGGGGGCGGGGCTTGTTGCATGCGCCCGCCCCCTGGGCTCCCTACTGCCGGAGCTCCACTCCTGTGCGCTCCTACAGGAAATGACCCCTATTTATCGTCCCCCCACCCCAGCCTCACCTGTTGCATTTCCCCACAGTGTCACGCGTATCGCCTGCTCAAACCCGGTGGCGTTCTCACTTACTGCAACCTGACCTCTTGGGGGGAACTGCTCAAGGACAAGTATTCCGACATTGAGAAGATGTTTCAGGTGAGGGGGAGACTGTCTGGCACTCAGAAGGTGCTGAGCTCATGGGCCGCCATGCACCAAGGGGCCTATGGTCAGAAGAAGGGGAAGAGAGGCCGGGGTGTGTGTGTGTACAAAGGAACCGGGGACAGAGAGGTTTAGCCTAGTCCTGTCGTTATCTCCATGATATGGCCTTCGACCGGTTTTGTAGTCAGGCCTTTGATGGAGGAAACTGTTCTAAAACAGTCCCAAGCGTCTGAAGTTATAAAGGCGGCTACCTCAGAAAGGACCTTCACAGGCATGGCACCGAAGCTTTGGGACCCCCTCCTGAGGGAAATTCGTCTGTCTCCACAGACAGTTTTGTTTCATTTGGCATGCCCCCAATCACTGCTATTGCAATAACTCCTCCCTGATTCTCATATCGTTTATGTGTCTTTACTGAATTGTTTTACTTTTTTGAATGTTTCTAACTGTTCAAATGTTTAAAAAAAAATTATGTTTGCCTGCTTGGGGGCCCTGACAGGGTGGAAGAGCAGCATAAAAATGTTTTTTAAATAAAACAAATAAGCGGGAGGCTAGAGGAGGTCCTCCAAGAGCAAACTCTGCATCCTTACCAGATCTCAGGATTATTTCCACGAGAGTCGCATTGGTTTTATGACACTTTTATCATACAGATAACTGGCAAATTTCCTATATTCAAGGAGATCTGAGTTGGGTTTAAAATGTCTGTATGTCTCTCCCCCCCGCCTTTATATTCTGAATGTGTATACTACAAGGAGGACTTTACCCTCATGATTTTGACAAATATGTGGAATGGCCCTAGCTCACTGTCGAATGTGTGAACTCGGGGGGTGGGTGGGGGTGGGATTAGGTATGAGCCAGGCCTACCTAGTAATTACTTTCTTGGGCCTTGTTAAATCTTTTAATTCTCTGAGAACAAAAAAACGAACTATTCAGAAAATTAAATCCCAGTTTATTTTAATCAAAAGGCTGTAGTGGCTCAGAGGTTAAGAGGCTGAAGCTGCAGACTGGAAGCTCGGTAGTTTGACAGTTTGAGATCCTAGTGCCACGTGCCGTCTGTGGCCCCAGCTCCTGCCAGCCTAGCAGTTCGAAAGCAAGACATTGCAAGTAGATAAATAGGTACCACTGCGGTGGGAAAGTAACAGCGTTCCGTGCACCTTGGCGTTTAGTCATGCCGGCCACATGACCACGGAAACATCTTCGGACAGCGCTGGCTCTTTGGCTTGGAAACGGAGATGAGCACCACCCCCAGAGTCAGATTCGACTGGCTTTCAAGGAAGGGAAACCTTTTTATATCCATGCTATTAAGGAGATAGAAGTCGCTGGCCCTGGGCTTCCTTCTAGCTCTTGTTTTGGGGGTTGCAGCAGATAGTACTAGTTGGGATTACGGTAAATCGACAGCAGTGGCCTCGTATCATCTGTTGTGGGGGGCCTGCCAATTTCTCGAGTTAAAAACTGTAACCTGTTCAAAAGGCTTTTTCTTTTTTTTGCTTCCGGAGGAAGCCGTGGGAAGCACTGATCATGGGTCCCCAACATGGTGCCCTCAACACCCTTTCTGGTGCCTGCCGAGACCTTTTAGAAAGTGGGTGGGGCTTTTGCCCAGAAAGGCTTCTGATTGACTGGGGGTGCAGATTTTTTTAAGACGTTGCTTTGGCAGCAGGTGCCACCGCAGCACAAGGGTCTCGTCACTGTATGACTGAAGCTGAGCTGCAGCAAGCATTCTGCAGCTGGTCTCTCCTGCTGCGGCACCCGTTTTGTGGCTGCACCCACCACTGGTGTGTCAGAATCCCACAGGTGCCCACAGGCTCAAAAATACTGGGGATCCCTCCCGCACTATACGAGCCACTTGCATGGAGAAGCTCTTTGACGCATCCCTTGCCTTGCTTCCCGAGCACTTCCAATTTTGGCCTTAAAGACACCGTCTCTCCCTCTCTCTTAGGAAACACAAGTGGCGCACCTGGTGGAGGCCGGCTTCAAGGAGAAGAACATCCACACCACCGTCATGGATTTGACCCCCCCAGGTGACTGCAGATACTACTCCTTCCCCAAGATGATCACCCCGACCCTCGTCAAATAATATCGACCCACAGTCCATCCCAGTAACCCGATTCCGCAGAAAGTGCCCCTTAGCAAAGACTGGACAGAAGAAATGGGGAAAAGTCCCCCCATCAGCATCTGGAGAAACAGATGTTCAAGAGGAGGCACTGACCACGGTCTACTCAGCCTCGTCAAAGCGAGTGGATTAATTTCAGTCACCTCCCCCCCCCGCCCGACGCCATCCATCTACTAACTGGACTAGCACCGCAACTGAGTTACTGGCAAGTTCTGGGGCACAAGTTAACCCACCCTTTGGGGGATCCTCACCAGGTTTCATGAGGGTGGCTGCAAAATCCAACACTGAATACACTTTATCTTGACAACCTCATTTTCGTTTCTTTTTTAAAATCAGCTTCTAGCTCTGCGGAGGTAAGCATGAAGCCATTTGTCCAGTACCTTGTGAAATCTAGGACAGATGTGACCTGGGGGAGGGGAAAGAAGGAGGTGTTTGGGCCCCTCCAATTGGGGGGGGACTGTGGTTCAATGCTCCCTCTAAGCTGTGGAGTCTTGTGAGCAAAAATGCTATTTTGTGAGCTATGGGCATTCAAGTTGTGAGCGAGCAATTTGGCTACTGCATAAATTAGTTTGCTCTGGAGCTATCCTTCCTGAGCTAAGACAAAAAACTGTGAGCTCGAGGCTTAAAAAACTGAGCTAGCTGACACTAACTCAGCTTAGAGGGAACACTAGTTGTGGAGCTTCACAGCCTCCCAGCTTAAGGACAGCTCTTGGAATACAATCCCATGTCCCTTTTTCTCAAAGCACCGTGAGAAAAAGGGCAGAAAAGGTGGAGCGTCCAATCTATCTCTGTGCGTATACATACATATATAAGCCACTTTATTAGAGAAACACGCAAAAAACAGCTTAAGTGCATCCAGGGTGTCCGCTTACAGTCCGACAGCTTAGGAGATGCGCAAAACTATCTGCGGTACCAGATCTGGAGCCTCTTTTCCCGCTTGATCTTCCTCTGCAACTGCAGGATCCCGTAGAGAAGAGCTTCAGCCGTAGGCGGGCAACCTGTGAGAAGAGGATACACAGAGAGAGGGCGAGGCCAGGCTGGGAGGTTGCCGGGCCACGATCCCTGAGCCCATCGCTTCGGAAAGGAGATCCAGTATGGCCCCCCCGGGTTGTACTGTCTGAGTTAGAGTTCAAAGTTGGCCAAGAGCCTACACAACATCTTGGCTTTTTTAAAAAAAACCCCTTTACCTGGAACGTAGATGTCCACAGGCACGATCCGGTCGCAACCCCGCACAATGTATGAGTGGTTTTTTCTAAAGTAAAACCTCAGTATTCAGGTTAAATTGCCATGTTGGCACTTTGCGATAAATAAGTGGGTTTTGGGTCGCAGTTTGGGCACTTGGTCTCTAAAAGGTTCGCCATCACTGATCTAAGCTGAGCGTCCATTTCCGACAGTGTCTTAGAGGAATTCGCCAGCAGACCGGGATGGCGCGAGGCTGCCCCCAGAGGG